CCTGCTGGGCCCTCTGTTATTTAACTTCTATAAGAGCAACATTTTTAGATTCTAAGAATGCATGAAATCATGCAGTATTTGTCTTTCTTTGTCTCGCTTATTTCATCTGATACAATGATCTCCATGGCCATCCACGTTGTCACAGATGGCAGGATTTCATTCCTTTTTATGGCTAATATTCCACTCTGTATATCAAATTTAGCCATCCATCCATCCATCCATCCATCCATCCATCCATAGGCACTTAGGTTGCTTATAAACATGCGAGACATGGGGCCAACCACTGGTTAAGACAGCTGGGTCCCACATGGCCGACTATGTGGGTCAGGTCCCAGTGGCTTGGAAAATACACTGGGTACATGTGCATGCATGCCCAGAATCCTGAGAGGAGGGAGAAAAGGGACAGGAGAAGGGATTGTGGTATGACTGTCCCCATGGGAGGGGGTGCTTTCTCACTTAGCCTTACCCTTTTTCACTCTGGCAAATTTAAAACAGAAAAAAGAGAAAAGACAAGACAGAACACTGGGTCTAGAGTCTGGCTTGGCTCACATCGGATGCATGTTATGGAGAGTATGACCTGGGAAGGGGCTGGGTTCTGGTTGGTAAGCCTATATTGAAGTCATGCAGATAAGCTTAGAGTTGAAGGGACTTATTTTTTTTATTTTTTATTTTTTAAGGATTTTAGACAAAACTTCCTGATAGATGATGACCTTACGGAATGGAATTTGGATTGAGGTGAAGAATAGGGTGACCTGAGAGGTTTGCAATTCTGTCATAAAAATGGGTTTGAAGTAGAGCAGGGAAAAGGAAGACAGTACAGCTCACTTTGGCAGATTGGCCTACTCTACTACTCTTGAAAATTTTTTTCTTAAGAATTATTTATTTAATTTTATCTATTTTTATTATTTTAAATTTGCTATAGGGCACTTGTGCTCAACCGAAAGAGAGGGGAAAGTGAGAAAGCAAGTCTCCGGGTCTAGGACTTGAACCACGGTTAGGCCATGTGGGAGTTCGGCACCGTAACGACCATGCCACCTGCGGGCCCACAACTACTCCTCTTACACATACTCAGGGTCCACTGGTACCTGGGTAGCATAGTTAGGTTGTATGACTGGAGCTGGTGAGTGGAGACATAACATAGGAACGCTTATCTCTAACTACCAGAATCTGCTGGAGCATGAGTAGAGTTATACTGATAGAAAGTTTTTTTCTAGGGCTGAAGTTAGGTTATTCTGTGGTCTAGCCTGTCACATTACGATGTTGCTGACAATTTAGGAAATTAATGAAATGAGTAAAAGTATGAACTTAAAAGTGGGGGGTTGGGGAGATGCGTCTGTCTTCTTAGCAGTTTACAGTTTCCCACCCGTTCTAATTAGCAAACCCTGATACTTGGTTAAGCTAGGAGAGTGGGGAGGAGCGCAGCTACAGTGCAGGACATGAAGGAGAAGGTTGAAGACATTCAGGCCAGGCACATTCTCAAGGATGAGGGTTTTTCCCAACCGCTGGGAAAGAAGACTGCCCTATTCACAACGTAGGAGTTTGCTCTTAAAATGAGTTTATACAAATTTTAGGATTGAGTTAAACTGTGTGACACATTAGCCAGCAGATATGTGGGTAATTGGAAAGATGGTTTTAGAGCGGAGACATGACCCAGGAGAAGAGTCAGGGTGACCTGGGGAAAGTCAGGGTAAGAGCAAGTCTCCTTCCTCCCATTCAGGTATCAAGCATGAGCCAGTGTGCTAGACCCTGGAGAATGGAAAAGTGGATGTTTTGGAGCTAGCAGGTGGTGTGGTTGAAGCACTGGGCTCCTATATGGCTGACTGCAGTTCAAGTCCCAAACCTGGCAGCTTGCTTTCTCACTTTCCTTCTTTCTCTCTCTCTCCCCTCTGCTCTGATGAGTGCACGTACACTATAGCAAATAAAAATAAATAAATAAAAATTATATCATTAAAACAAAGAAGTGGTTATTTTTTCTTGAGTCCACTGTGGTCGGGGAGAGGGATGTTTTTTCTTGAGTCCAGTGTGGTTGGGGAGAGAAGCTTATAAACAGGTAATTACAAGGTGTATAATGTAATAAGTGTTATAAATAATTGTGCATAGGCACAAAGTAGATAACTGCCTTCCTGGAGGAGTTTAGATGTTACAGAGATGACGACACATGAGCTGGTTCTTAAATGGTAGCAAGTAAGGAAGAAGTATTTCCAGGCAGAAGGAAGAGAGTATGCAAAGGCTGGGAAGTAGAATGAAGTATGCTGTTTTTATATCATGCTTTGCAGGACAAGATCTCAATTGCAGTTTGAGAACACATTGAGCTATGGTTGAAGGTGGCAGGCACACACGCCTCCGTCTGGAGGCTAGAAGCTAAGGTCTGGGGATTTTAACTAGCTCAGTTCAGTGTCATCAGTGTGAGTCAGAGGCTAGAGCTCAGACCAGGTGCCCAAAC